GATTTCATGGAGATGTCGGAAGAGGTTGAGACGTGCTCGGCCCCGACCGTTGTCCAGCTCTCCTTGTGTTAGGACACCCAACAGAGTTGACTTCCCTGAGTCCACATTCCCCAGCACAGCTACTCGCAGGTCTAAGAACTATGAGAAAGGGAGCAAAGAAATCACAAAACCTAAATGCTGCTTCATTGAACACCACACACGAACAGAGATGTTTCCTTCCACAACAGACACTGCAGCATACTTTAGTTCAGATTCTGCTCTTGCTCATGGCAAATCATAGTCTGGGAATTGTGATATATTTTAGTGTGTTGTGATATGACACATCAGCAGGAAGTCTAAATTCTTCCTTGTTTGCACACTGGGTTGCATCACAACTGTTGTGGCAGAAGTGAAATAGGTTCTCATCTCTGATCAAGGAAATCTCTCCTACTGGTATGTGCCACAACCACAATCTCGGAGATAAGAAGCGCTGTCCTCAAAGCTTCCCTCTGGCAGCTCTTTAAAGCATCTGCTATGGGGCAATCTAGAGCAGACTGCCTTTAGGGCTTGGACTCCCATTCCAAAAATAAGTTTCTCGTATGAGGGCTGCACTTTTCTGGCAAGAGAGGAGAGCCAGGTCACAGGTTCCTACCTGCTGGTTGTCAGGCACCTTTCGGACGAGCACCTCCGTTATCTTCCTTGGAACATCACTGTCATAATCCACCTCCCTCTCTCGCAGCACTGTAATGTCAGCTCCCACCCTGCCACAGACACAGAAGGGAAGAGTGAGACACACATGCTTGCACTCAGCAGCCCTTGCACATACTGAATCAGACCTGACAAAGTGAATGGGACAAAAACTAGGTATAGCAGGACAGCAGCCTCAGGCTTGAAGCCAGAAGCCCTTTAGCTCCATTCTTACGTCTAGACCTTCACGATAACAAAATTTCAGTCATACACAAGCACCATGGAGTGGTGCCACCAGCTCCTCTGGGAACTCCTGGAGCCAAGTCTCTCTTGTACCAGAGGCTGTTTAAGCCTACAGGTCCCTCAGACAAAAGTGAACACATACTTCTCTGCCATACGGCGCAGGGTCTTGAGTGAGGCGCGCATCTCCTCCTCCGAGAGGCCCACCAGCAGCCCATTGTCCTCCACACCAATCTGGTAGACAGCCTCACCACGGCCTTCCTGTAGTCGCCACTTCATCTGTGTCACCAGGTGCTCAAAGCGGTACTGTGAGGGATTCACTAGCTTTAGCTGTTTAACAGAGGGGGGAGTTACAGTCACAGCACGGAAGTAATCCCAGTGCCCAAACCAGCAACTCTCTAAATCAACGCGGTGAAGCAATGCCCCCTGCTCTGACCCACCTCTGGAAAACACACCCCATGTTAGTATCTAAACAGAAACCATGGGATAGGTGAGAGAGTGTTTCACAGGGATGTGTGCATATGGGAGCAGAACTTTTCTTCACTTTCCCAAAAGGATCTGCACTCTGCCTGCTGTGGGGGTAAAAGACAGCACCATGGGACCTATCTGTGATAAATGAGCCAAGTAAGCGTGACTGGCATAACAGCCACAAACTGAGTGATAAATGATTATTGGGGACACCTACAGCTATCAACGTGAAGATTTCAGAAAAACCAGTAGGTCCTGTCTCCTAAAACAGACTCCTAAAATGAGTGATGAGCTCAAACTCTTCCAGCTCAGTGTACTGGGTATCTCTAGGCACTCAGAAGATGACTGATTGTTCCTTGCTTAGTACAGTGTCTGTTCTTGTGTCCCCATGGGCACGTTCCCCATACACTGTCTTTCCTGAAGTTATTTGCTGTAAGACAACTCTGGGAAGAAACCCTCCTACACCCACAAAAGGCTCACCTTGTACTCGATGTTACCATCTTCCGCCTGGTCAGAGAACAAAACAAAACAGAAGGGTTAGATGCTGTGCCAGCAGGGACTTCTATAGGCATCAGCTGAAAAGATACTCCACAGCTTGCACTGACAATTTCAGAGAGAGAAAACTGCAGAAATATATTGTGTTAGGTTACAGCCCATTCTGCTGCTCATTCCTACACTCAACTAGAACTTACTTTAGGCTTCTTTTTGCTGTTTGCATCACACATTATGAACAACAAGGGCTAAAACTAGAATATGACACAGGGGAGTAGTGCTGCCTTGTTGGTTTTTTTTTGTTTTGTTTTTTTAATTGTCTGCAAAAAAGAGGGCCAGTCACACACAGTTCCAGTTTCGAAAAAAGCCACAATCCCACAATGCAAACCACACCATCCCATTCCCACTATGTCCAGCAGCTTCTGCCCACCCAGTGCGCACAGAAAGAAGGGAATGGGAACAAAAGTCACTGTTTCTTCTCCCGTGCATTGATAGCCTTTTCCCTCACCCAATTATTTTTCCATTGACTCCTTCCCATATCCTTACATATCTACCCTGCAAGACAGAAGGACCACAGACATAAGGATGCAAATTATGGACTCCTTTGCAATATAGCAAATTGGTGACTGGGCTGGAGAACCAGATGTGATCAAGACTATAAGTGCACAATGTTGTCCGAAGAATTTCCCCAAGAAAGACTGAAAACAGACCAAGTTGTATTACAGTCTAAACCAGAAAGGCCCATAAAGTCATCGACCACAACAGGCTCCAACTTCCAAAGAGAACATCTAGTCAAAACTGAAGTAACTTCTGCACCGATTTGGTCTAAGGGCCACTGAGAAAGGGCTGGAGCCTGCAAGAAGCCATGTACTCAGGCAGACTAAGCTGAGTGCCAACTCAAAGCACTTGCTTTTCCTCTGGACACCAATTTGCATGTCAAGAGAGGCAACAGCCCTCTCCCTGCCTTCTAGCTGAGCTTCTAACCACAGCGGAGCTTATGGTGGCTGACGGCCAACAGAGGGAAGTTCCAAGCTGCCAGCTCGGCACTCGGGCAGCAGAGCTATGCAGTGAGGGAAGGGTACGTGCTGGAGGTTTTACTCTTTTGCCATTTAAGAAAAACATCACGTTCACATTCTGTGCTGTCCTCTAAACAAGGGGGCAGGTCTCTTCTGAAGCAGCATAGCCTGAAGAAAAGCAACACACAAGGCTGCGTGGACTACATGCTGCACGGGGCGGCCAAGGACAGGAAGCCGTGCTGAAACCACAGGGGCTGTGCAGCCTCCAGCTGAAGAGAACCAAAACTGAACTGCAGCTGCAAGGGACGCTCCTACCCTCGGACAGGGTCTCACACAGCTGAGCTCTATGTTCCCTCCTCGACAGGAGCCACAGCCCGGTGGGGGGCTGCCCCTTCCCAGCACAGACTTGGATGACTTACTGAGAGCTCGCCCAGCAGGGCTGAGCAATCTTCTCAATGTAACAATGCTCTCCGTCCGCAGCAGCAGTTTCCCCAGAGCCGTGCCAACCATCTGAACTAACCCACACACCCTTCAAGTAACACCGTCAGTTTTTCCTGCTGCAGGAGACAAATACCAAAAAAGACAACGCTCCCTCCGAGCCCGCCAGCACCCGCCCCATCGCCACAAAGGAAAACACCGGCTCACGGAGCCGGGCGGGCCGTCACCAGGACCTGCCGAGCGGCGGCCGGGAGCCCTCACCGGCGCTGCCCCGACCTCACCCGCATCCCCGCTCCGGCCCCGCCGCGCACAAAGCCGCCCCCCCCGCCCACCCCGGCGGGCCCCTTCGCCGGCCCTGACAGGCCCCGGGGCGTCCCCTCCGCGGCCGCCGGCGGTCGGCTCACCTCAGGCGGCAGGTACGGCGGGTTGTTGGCCTTGCCCCCCCGGCTCCGCCCGCTCTTCTTCTTCGCCTTCGAGCCGCTGCCGCCGCCGCCGCCGCCGGGCGCGGCCCCTCCGCGTCCGCGAAACGCCGCGCCCGTCGGCCTGCAGCAGCCCCCGAACAGCTCCGACACCCGCGAATCCATGGCGGCCGGCGCGGCCCCGCCGCCCCGGTGCGGTACCCGCTCCCCGCCCGGGTTCCCCGCCGCCCCGACCCCCGCCGTCAGCAAAGCCGCCGCGCGGCGCCACGGGAAACGGAGTCCGCAGCGCCGCCCGCCTACAGTTCCCGGCACGCACTGCGCCTCGCCTCTCTCGGAACTGCCGCTCCCGGCGTGCCCCTCGGCGCGCCCCGCGCCGTTCTCTATGGACTGCCTCCGCAAGGGCGGATGGGAGTTGGAGTTCCGTGCGGGCGGCGCCCCCTGGCGGCCCTCGGAGCTCGGGGCGCCCGGCAGATCGAGGGCGCCTCCCCGACGCCCTCCGTTCTGGGACAGCGAGCTATGGCACACGGCGATCGGCACCGGGGGCGGGAAGCCGAAGCGTCGTTAAACATTTCTGGCACCAGAAACGCCCAACAAAGGCAGAGAAACAGCACCGCGCGCAGAACTATTCACGCAGATACCGCAGCCCCCCGCCGACGGGGGCTCACGACGGAAGCACTCGGCTCGGGGTGAGAACGCGCCGAGCGCCGCGCCCCCCATCCGCCTCCGCCAACAGCAGCGAGCCTCGCGACCCGCCGCCGCGCCCCCGGGGCCGGCGATGCTCGGTCCGCGTACGTCAACTTCCACGCTCCCGGCACCGCCCCCCCCGCGGCCCGCGGGAGGCTGCGCCCAATGGGGCTGCGGCCACGTTGTTTCCAAACACGGCCGCTCCCCCGCCAGCCGCGGGGCCCAGCGCCCGCCTCCGCCTCCTCCTCCTCCGCCTCGCTGAGGCGCTGCGGCCGCTGCCGAAGAGCGCCGCGGGGCGAGGGCGGTGCGCGCAGCTTCCTCTCAGCGAGGCGGGGAGCTCGGCCGGGTACGGCCCTCACCGCCGCCTTTTTCCCCTCCCCGCAGCGCTGCGTCCGCCCTCTGGGCGGGCTCCGGGATAGAGGCGAAAAACGCCGCCGATCCGGCCGCTGGGGGGCTCCCTCCCGCTCCCCAGGGCTGACGCCTGGCGCCCGCCCCATCCAACATGGCGCCCGCGCTTTCCGGAAGCCGCGGGATGGACGCGCCGCCGCTCCCATGGTGCCCCGCGGCGGCGGCCATTCAAATTCCAGCGGGCCGCCGCCGCCGCCTAGAAAATGGCTGCGCTGGGGGGAGCGGAGTCGCCTGGTGTGGCGGTGGCTCCGTGTTCTCAGGCCTCCCCGCTTCTCGTGGCAGAGACGCCGCCGGCCCCGGAGCGCGGCCGTGGCGGGAGGAGGTCCCGGCGGAGCGCGCCGGCGGCGCTCAGCCCCGCCGTGTCCGTGGTGTTCCCGGGCGCCGTGAGCCGAGAGAGCTGCTGTCGCTTCGCCTGCGAGCTCCTGAAGCACGTCCTGCACCAGCGGCACCAGCTCCCGCTGCCCTACGAACAGCTCGCCTACTTCTGCCGGCGGGCCGCGCAGGTGGGCGGGCGGCTGTCTTGCGGGGGGTGGCCCGTTTAAAAGTTGGCCCGGGGCTGCCGGTGCAGGGGCTTAACGCTGGTTTCTGTCCGTCAGTGAACCATCCCACCGCCGTCGTTCGTTTTCTAACGTGTTGTCTTCTAGAAATCTGAAAGCCCTAATTGCAAACTTTGATAGACTTACTTCTGTGTGTGCCTTGAGTCTCAAGGAGGGGATGTGTCATGCTTTCTGAAGAGTGAATTGGGACCCTCTCCAATTTTCTGTATGTGTATTAATGTCTCTTTTGTTCTGGTTTCCAGGATGGAGATGTGATCAAGAAGCCACCCTCTGTGGGCCTGGCAAGCAAGAAGTGTCAGCAGGTGCTGGTGGAGCTGGAGGCAGTGCTCCAGCACTTGGAAGTGATGTTCAGCTTGACACTGGTTCCCCGTGTTCTTATTCTGCTTGGAGGCAATGTTGTGAGCCCCAAGGAGCTTTATGAGCTCAACTTGGAGGGGATCTATGTGGGCAGTGCTGAGAAAAGCCTGAAAACCACATCCTGCGTGCGTAAGCTTTTTCACTCACTCTTCATTGCAGATGTCTTCAGTGAACTTAAAGCTCTTCCAGTCACAAGCACTGTTGTTATGCTCCAAGGGCATCGCAGTTGTGGTGTGGAATGGTTCCGGCCCAAACTCAACTACAAAGTGCCAACCCGAGGAAGGAAACTGACTATTAATTTGTCCTGCGATGGAGACGTCAATATAAGTGCCTCAGCTCCTCAGATTATGACTTCTACTTGGGAGGACTACATATGGTTTCAAGCACCAGTGACGCTTAAGGGCTTTCATGAATGATCTGTGCTCTGTAAAACTTTTAATGGGATACTGAATAATTTTTGGTGCTGCTTTAGTCAATAATTCTATCAAAGATAATGGCATACGCTTGTCTCTCTGGATCTCTTCTCTAGGGCATCTGTTGCCTTCCTGACCACTTTCTTCTGTGTTCACTTCCTGACTTGTCTTTGAAAGCAGGAGCCCTTTAAGGCACAGATACCATGATTCCTTAAGGAGATTAATTGATATATTGGGTGTAAAAACTTCCCTGTAACATGCTTGCTGAACTGACAAATATTGGGTACAGTCTTCCTGAGTTGTACTCTCCCGAGTTTTTCTGCAGCCATTTCTGTTAATGATTACTGCATTATAAGATTTTTGGGACAAGATAACATATGTTTATTAATATAATTGGCCTTTACTGTGAAGGCCATAACATTCTTTACCCTACTGCTGTGAAAGAAGACCTTTTCCTGCAGCCTACTCAGACTTGAGTACTCAAGTGCTTGCCCATCTAGTAGATATCTATCTTCCCATAACACCACTTCAGTTTGTTAGGAATCCAGCATGGTGCTCTTCAGCAACTGGAAGACTTCATACGTAGCAGTGTCTCATAGTAGTGATGGAATGAGTGGTCCTATGAAGGCAAGGGAATGTGTCTTCCTATTTCTTTACCTAACTTTTAGTCCATCAGTCCTGACAATCAGTTTGATATACAATTAAAACTAGGAGCAAGCAGTTTATTCTCTCCTTCACAGGAAATTAGGACTCCTGCCTCCCATGTGATAGCTTATTCTTACTTAACAGAAAATAAAAATATCTTGCTTGCTTTTGGGACGGGGAGGAGAAACAAGTGCCAGAACTAGATATCTGCTGGAGTTGTCTTGAATTATCTGGATATGTGTCTATCGTGTAATGAGTTAAATAGCTCCATCCACGAGAAGGGAATCTCTAGGCTGTTGGTAGTAAGGTTGCTTACTACATGCTAACAGAAGCTGCTTGATGGGGTGATAAAAATCTTTTGAAAGGAGGTTGTTAAAAGGTGAATTAACCCTCTGTACTCAGTGCATATTTTAAGCTTTTCTGACATTTTAGCAGTGAGTAAGATTGTAAAACTGGAAGGAAAATCTTTTTTTTTTAAGCTTAGAGAACACTACAGGTGCTGTTTTTGCCTTGCTATTCATTGACAGCTAGTAACTGCTAAAACTAGCTATAGGAAAGAACTGCTAGAATAAAGAGAGCTGCCTTATGTGCAGCTGCTCATTTGAGAATGTAAGCATTGGTCTCTCAAATGAAATACAACTCAAACTATTCAATAGGAGTTTGATATTCTCAGGACATCTAAGCCCTTTACATTTCCACCAAAGCTGCTTGAAAGCATGTATTTAAGAATGCTAGCATTTCAGTATTTAAAGAAGCTTTTGAACAGAAGCTGTAGTTCTGAGGAACAAGGGGCCACTTCCTTTCTGCTATCTCCTCCAGATGAGTGCAATGTTACTGCATTAAGTGGTTTACATATTCCATTATACTTGAATTATGAATGCAGCAATGATATGGTGCCAGGAATAAAAGACAAGATGCTTTTTTTTTTTTTCATATAAAGAGCTTTAGAGTTTGAACAAGTTTATTAGTTATAATCATTATTATCAAAATAAAATGCTGGCTTCTGTGTTGTGATTGTATTGAGTTTATCTAATCTCTTAAAGAAGGCTTCTGTGGATGGTAGAACAACTTGCTTCCATTCTATATGTGTATCTAAACTGTGGGTTCACAGCTGCTCCACCTTTCTCACAAAGTAGAAGATGTCTTGTGCCAGCAGCTTTGGTTCCTCAAAGGCAGCAAAATGCCCTCCACGTGGCATGTAAGAGTAACGGACAATGTTCTTGAAGGTATTCTTTGCCCAGACCTGTGGTGTATGTGCTATCTCCTGGGGAAAAGCTGCAATGGCTGTCGGAACATATACTCCAACCCTAAAAAGACATTAGTTAACAGTATTTTCAAGATGAACTTCTGAAGAAAGTCATTTAAAAACCTTCTGACTCGTAGGTTTTATATGAGTTGAAGAAACTTCACCACAGCAACTCTTTTCATAGTTTGTACTCTGCTGAGGAGCTTCACTGGTGTTTGGATCTCCTTGACTTCAAAAGTGTTATATCTAAAGATGCATAAAACGAAGCCTGCTTTGTGCAGAGTTCAGTATTGAAAAGTTTCAGGCTTTTATGCTTTGTAATATCTGTTGAAGCCACACCTCTGTGTAAAACTCAGAAGTGAGCTAACTTATGTTTGCTTTAGAATTTCTGGTACCAGTATAATCCTTATTGAGAGAAGGTGAATTAGTTCAGCCAGTCTACAAAGAACAAGACTTTTTTTTTTTCCCCATAAGATCAGTCACTTGATGAGGAGTTTTGCCCACCAGTGCTTCCTGGTCAGCCTCTCAGAGTCATCTCAAAGACTACAGCTGTTAAAGGTGTTTGGTTTCAAGTACTGCTCTCCTGGAAGCTTGTTTCCTTAGAAAAATCACTTCTTACGCTGCTTCTACAAGTTTTTGCTTAACAGCTGTAGCTCGTAGTTTGTTCACCTGTAAATCATATCCTTCCTAACTGTTTAAACTTGTTAGGAATACTTGTGATTTTCTGTTTTGTTTTTAGTGAACAAAGCCATGGATTACAGTTGTCTAGCAAGTCTATAGACCAGCTGTGTTTTGAACACAGATCTGAATTACTTTTACTAAATGTTCTGCATTGTTTTTGGCAACAGACCAACTTGTGTGAATCACAGGTTTAAAAGAAAAGCGACCCTTAACTATATTCATTGAAGAAGATAACAGCTTGGCTTTTTTTTCTAGTATGGGTCAAATTTGCAAGTGATCTAAATGCTTGTACAGGCAGGTCTGATTCAGTCTTGTTTCGAAATCTGTCTTGTACGCTTCATTACCTGGAGTCAGCAATAAGGCCAGGGTCCCGGGCAAAGTTCTCCTTGTAATATCGCATTGAGGGCACAATAGATGCTGTCACCCAGTAAATCATCACATTGGTCAAAAGATCATCGAGAGAATACTTGCTAGTGAGAGAAAAAAGATTCAATATAACGTGAGCTGTTTCTCAACATACTATATTGGGCTTGTGCTCTGATAAGCTATTGGTCTTCTGGTTCTCCATTGATTTTCAAGCAGCAAATCAATTTACATTCATGCACCCAAAGCAAAGCTTCCTAGACTGAACCAGTAGCTTGCAGGCAGTCTACTGTAAGCTTAAACTTCTACTTATCTACTTCTAATCTTTCATCCTTAAAATTCAGCTTCCACTGGCCAGCCTTTTGTCCATCTCCCCATCAGTTGTAATCAGTTGTTTTTTTTAAATCAGTTTTCTCACCTTTCCAAGCCTCCGTCATCTTTACTCAGGAATGATTTATCTGTCCATGTAGAGAATTTCTCCAAAATATATGCAGCAAGCCCCACAGGGGAGTCATTCAGTCCACAACCTAATACAAGTGAAGAACAGTAGAGCTCTTACATTTGTGTAGTGTTGTAATACTTTAAAGTTCATCACCTTTTACATGATTTAAAGCGTGGAGTACTGCATTATCTGTTCCTGCTATTGGAGAGCACTAACATGATATAAATGTAGCATGTACGCAGCCTATTATCTTTGTGTTCTTGTAAAACAAGGATAGTAATTACTTCAGTAGCGATAAGGGTTGCGTATCTTTTGGTGTATTTTAGCTTGACTTTGTAGAAGATAACATACACTGCTGTTTCAATTTAATTATGGACATATCTAATTAAGTTTGTGCACTGGCACAAGTTTCCCCTGCAGTCAGTTCTAGGGTAATTTGCTACAGGTTGAAATCATATAAATGCTTTGACCAGCCAGCAGTAGTTGAGGCCTGTACTGTCTGACACACAACCCATATGGAGATGAACTAGGGGCTGGAAGCTGTCTCTTGACCACTGTTACTAAGTGTCTGTGGATTACACACTCAAAGAGTAGTCCTGGTTGCAGTTTGTTATTTTAGCCTGTGCTATGTCTTACATACTGCAAAATGTGCTGTGAGAAAAAAACTATAAATTTGCTTTAAGGCTGCCTGATGAGAGCTACAATGGCAATGCAGTTATTTCTTGAAACTGAGTAAGGCACGTACAAGTTTCCTATTCTTTTTCTACATCCCACTCTTCCACTGCACCCCCAAGTCCCTGTTTTTTTTTTCTTCCCCATCAGGTCAGAATCCTAGACTGTATGGAAGCTGCCTGATCATTTCAATATTCCTTTTTTCTCCTTTCTGTATTCTAAAACATACTTATAAGCGGGGTTCAACAGGGATGCAATGGATTCCAAATATCTTTTTTTTTTTCTTAGCCTCTTTTTGCTTTGACAGACTGTAAAATGCTCTTGAACTCTGACTGAGCTGACTACATTTCAAAGAACTAGCCATGACTCATGGTTTTCCTCATGGCAGCAGCCAAACTAGAGCGGACTGTGATTTTCTTCCCCTAATTGCTTTGTACTTTGTTGACATCAAATTTTATAGGCCAGTTCAATCAGCAAGTCAATTAAATGTTTTTGCAACTCTGTGCAGTTATCTTTAGATTAAACCAAACCTTGGATAGTGGTCAACTTTTCATTTAACAATTAACTTTTCTCTGTAGAGAAATTAGGATCATGCTGAAACGTGCCAACACAGATTTTTGTTATAATCACCCTTCCCCTTCAACTTGCTTGATTACTCCTATGCTTAGATCTCAATTTCAACCAGTTATTAATCCAGGAACTTAATCCTTTTCTTAAGGCATTTTCATTTTTTGGGGAACATCAGAGGAGAAACCTCAACAAAACTTTGTTTAGAAACTGAAACACTTTACATTAATGGATCCACTGCTCTTTGCTTCCACAAAAGCCCTGATTTGTGAAACATTTACAGGCGGTAGTATCATGTGGAAATGATATTCTTTTCTATAAAATAACTCTGCTATCTTACTGAGACTATACGTTTTGGTCTGTATTTTTTCCTGGGCTAATTCTCCACTTGGCTCTTAAAAACAAAAAAACAACAAAACAAAATGATTCTATGACATCAACTTACTTTTGTACGATAAGTTGTAAGCTTCAGAACTGATGAAAGATTGGCTGATCTCTGCTATTTCTCATCATTTAAAATGAAGCATTTCTGGAGCTAGTTTTAAATTTGATATGAAAAGTGTATTTGAGGAAAATGGTTGCTTAACATCTGGGAGTCCTTCCGCTTAAGTAAGTAGTAAATCTACATTGAGTAGTCTTCTTTTTTGTGTAATGAAAAGCCGGATTTGAATTTAATTGCATGTTTTTACCAACACTTACTGAAGGTTGAAAGTTAGCCTTTCATTGCTTTCTGCTTTGTCCTTATAAATATGCAAGTTTGATTGCAGGCTGCTTTGTGCTGTCACTTTAAGACAAACACTTTGAGCTTGTTTGTTCATACTGACAACAGGTTTAAACAGGTTGACACAGCTACACTTTGATCAAAGTGGTAATCATTTGTGGAATGACAATTCACACAACAGTCACATTATGCACTGTGCTTCTATGGGTGCAGCGCATCAAACTGAATATCACACTTGGAAGAGATAATTCAGAATCAGAAATCAAGAATCATAGTGTAATTTATATTGTTTGACTGATTATCAGGAAAGTATATGAATGATAGTGAAAGCTGGCATCATAATACTGATGTAAGCCTCATCATTTTAGCATGTCTTTCTGATTGCATATTGAAAAGTAGGGAACAGTGAATCTGCTGAAGTAGAGCACTTTCTAAATCAAAGATCCTTCAAAAGCATGCATGTCTAATTGTTTCCAGCTATTTCTGGTGTGCATTTTTTAAATAATTGTAGACATTAGGATAAAACAATTAAGAAAATAACATGAAATTAGAATATTTTAAATGTACACAAAAGAATTGTGCAATCTAAAAAGGACAAAGAAAAAGGACAAAGAATATACAAGGGAAAACCAAACACACATAGTCAAAAAAAAAAATCCCTCCCTGAAGCAAGTGCAAAAACCATCTGACTTTACTCTGTTCAGGGGTCAGCAGTTCTCTAACTTTCACTTTGATTTCCTTTTTTAATCTAAATTTAGCTTTTAGTAGTCAGAAGCCAAACAGAATGACTTCAGAGCAATTTCAGAGCTGCCACTTAGCTGAGAATAATCTTAGCCTCTTCCCTGGCTGTGCAGTGTGACCTCCAGGTGGATCGCATCTAGTGGTTACTGCTGAAAGTATCTACTTATGCTGTACATCTAGGAAGTCAAGTTAGTTTCTTAAGGTTGGGAATACTCTCCTCAAGTTGCCCAGACTAACAGACTGTCATTAGAAAGGGCTTGCAACTTCACCTCTATTTGTGCCTCAGTGAGACTGGTCTCCAAGAAGAGACGTCAGGCTGTAGCCTTCTTTCTGGCTAAAAGAAATAAACAAAAATCCAAACAAATAAACCCAAACCATATCTTGCATCCCTCTTTTTATTTCTTCAGTGCTGTGATGAGTTCAAGCAACAGACTAGGTGTTATTTAGTAGAAACTCAAACCAAAATGCTGAATTTTTCAATGAATGGCCAGGCTGAAGCGCTATTCATTCTGTAGTCTCTGTTAGCGACAGCAGTTGGAAGCAGTTCTACTGCCATTTTGGATGAGGGTTTATCTCAAGACAGGAATATCTTATAGTCCTTACCTAGTGGGAACCAATTTAAAAAAATAATTTAACTTTTCTGAGATGGCCATCATTCTTACACACTGGTACCACTGACTGACAGGCTTCTGCCTTCTAAAATTTAGGGCTGAGTCTGCCTTTCAGCAACTTTCACATTGCACTCGCTTATGATCTTTTTTCTTGTTTTCAATTGTTTGTATTTCTAAAAGCTTCAGTGCTTCACTTTAAGAGTCTCCTGCAAAGGATTCTCTTCCCAAGTGTAGCACCATCCTACTTTAAACAGTTTGGAAAGTGATATTTGCAGTGTCCATCTTTTATAAGCTGCTCATTCAAACTTTCTTTTAGATCTTCGTCCTATACCTTGCATTCACTCATCAGAATGTACTGCTTCTGAAACACAGTAAGCCTTTGCTCAATGATGAGTTTTTTTCTACCATTGGCAGTTGGTATACAATATATAGCAACATGGGGAGGGTTCATTACCTGCAGTGTCTGGTTTGGTGGCTTGGATGTGTAAGTATCCAGATTCTCGCAGAATGTCAAATACGTTCTTCTGCATGAAAGGGTACATCCGTTGAACATCTTCCCTGGTGAAGCCTACAAGCCATGGAACGTAAGTCCCAAGCATCACTTGAATCATCTTTTTCAAGCCTCGTATGCTAATGAAGACGAGATTCAGATGAAGCCCTTTCACAGACCTAAAATCAAATTCAGGAATAGAGTGTTAAAATTTCTGTCTCCAAATTTTCTAGAAAATAAGTCTGACTGGAGCTGTGAAGGAAGGATTTCACTGAATCAACTACATAAAGACCTGAAAGAACCTAAAAGGTTCATTGTGGTGTAAAGAGGAGGGAAAAAATAAAAAAAGTACAGCTGGTTCCACCTCCATTCAGCTGTGTTATTTATATGATGCCAGTTTTAGGCACTATTTACAAATACAGCATATCCACATTGGCAGCTCTGGCTTTTGGTTCATTCTACACTGTAGGCAACTGGTTGTGTTGGGTACTTTCTGAAAAGCTTTCTTAGATCACATGCTGTGAAGCATAACTGCAATCCATAAGAGAGAGCTGAGCAGCAGTCTAATGGCTTTAAGAAGTTTCTCCCTCTATCTGTTCTTTGACAGAAGTACAGCTGTGGTGGCACTCCTCTTGTTAAATGTTAAATGTTCTGCTACAATGCCATCTTCTAAAGAAATGTTAGGTTTCTTTTCTGATCTGTCTTTCTCAACTTTGCATAGGTACACCCAGCTGCTGAAAGAATGACTTCCTTCAACTCCCTTTGCTACTCACTGTGGCAGCATCTGGGACATATTTGTGGTAACACGAGATCCCCAGTCTCCTCCCTGTACATAGTATTCCTTGAAGCCCAGTCTCTTCATCAGCTTGTGAAATATCCGAGCAGTTGCAAGGGTGTCAAAACCTGCACGTAAAGAGAAGCACCAAACATTTGTCTTAGCATATCCTGGCCAGAGATCATGGTCCAAATGTGCTGCTGTGAAGGCACAGTGTACTGTACCGCTCCTCCTCACTCTCTGACAATAGAGAGAACACTAGTTGTTGCAAATTCAATGCAAAGTGGAGAAAAAAAGAGTTAGCTTTCAGCTACCACTGCCTTCCAAATCTCCAAACCAGCCTCAGAGCCTCAGTAACATTGGTGTTGGTGCAGAGCCAAGTTTCCTGAACTTTGGACTCGGGATCTGCTTTCTGCATTCACAGACTGCAGCACACAAAGGACTGGGGGATGGCTGAAGTGTTACACCAAAAACCTGTGATTCCAGCAGAGCCTTTTCATCACTTACCTTGCTGGTGTGGTGCCTCTGAGAAGCCATAGCCTGGTATGGATGGGCAGATGACCTCAAACACCACATCACCACTGTCCAGGCCATGCTTGGTTGGATCCGTGAGTAGAGGGATGATCTTGTAGAACTCATAGAAAGAACCAGGCCAGCCATGGACCATCAGGATAGGCTGAACAGCTTTTCCATGAGGGACGTAGGAGGGCTTCACATGGATAAAATGAATATCAATCCCTGCCAAGCATCCAAGACAGAAAAGTTAAGTTCTGGCTCCTTCTCAGTTTCTGCTCTGGACTCTGAAGAAAGAGGCTGGCAAAATAGTGATTAGCAGAAATTACACAATCATCCCACATCAGGAAGATGACTACCTGAAAGGGATGTCCAGTATTATACTTACGTAACACCTTTTGCCTATAGGTGGAGGTATCAATCCCAACCCCAGACAGGGGGTTCACAGCAGACTGAACATCCTTCCCATGAGAAACTAGTTTCACAGTAATAGGTAAAGCCATACTTAAATACACAGCATAACGCAGGCAAGACAAATGCAAGACTATGATAAATGGCATGAAAAAATACTCTGGACTCATAGAATGGATAAATTTTGCAGCTTCTAAAGGCAGTTTCAGGGCAATAGTAGAAGAAAACCTTCCAGTTAATTAGCACAGGTTCAGGGCCAGAGGAAGGCCCTCCTAAAGCAGACATAAATTTATTGCTAATATATGGCGCACACGATCTGTACAAGCTCATTAATAGTACAGCCTACACGAGAGATATTTCCCTTACATCACTAAGCTATTACATACAGGTAAATATTCTAACATCTTAAACTAGCCATCAGGACTGAACATCCAGAAGCTCCTCTTCCCACGTATGCTACTGGCAAGAGCAAAGCAAGGCCAGGAGAGGCAGCTGGGGAAGTTCTCTGTGGTGTAACAGGGAGGCACAGTGACCCACTCACCTTCGATGGTGGTACGGAAATGAGGGTACTTGTTCAGGATTTCCACTTGCTTGCGCCAGTCAAACTTGTTCCTCCAGTAGGCCACCACCTTCTGCAGGTAGTCAGAGTTGAAGCCATAGTTGAAGGCTGCCCCTTCCAGTGGAGGCGCATAGCGAGCCTGGTCGAGGCGGCGGTGCAGGTCCTGCAGAAGGAGTGAGGCTGCCCAGATGCCCATGTGTGCACTGCACCGAGGCAAGCATGTGCAGGAGCCAACTCTCCAGGCTCCACCAGCTTTTAGACCTCTACCTGTTAGACAATAGTCCTGGCTGAACTAGAGCTCTAAGCGATCTCCTCAGTCACAGGGAATATACTTCTCTGTAGGCTAACAATTCTGCTAATGCACTCAGGATTACCAGGTCTTATTCCTGCCTTACTGTTAACTTTGTACTAGGAGCTTTCAGGCACTGTTGAATGGGTAAAGAATATAAAAGGGCAATTAAAGATTGGGCCCAGCTGCCTGTTGTTAGTTGGCTGGATCTCCAGGGGCAGGTGCTACAATTCATTAGGAAGACAGGTGTTCTCCTGTAGGAGCCTCTGAGCCCTGCCCTGTTTTACCAACTTCTATCCCTACACCCTCCCACTCTGCCCCACTGCCTGCAGACCCACTGTCAAACTCTACCTCAATTTCTTCATCAGATGTTTCAATCTTGAAGGGGCGGATGCTTTCATCTTCTTTCACTTTTAGGGGTTTTTCGCCTGAGCCCCACCATCCATCACCCATTTCAATACTCTTGATCTTGCGTCTAGACATCAGCCAGCAAACCAGCATCCCTCCAACACCCACAGCAGCCACAGGGACCAGGACTGCATTCTTCTGAGAATACTGAAAAGACCTAGGGATGCATAACATCTGCATTCAGTGCAAGGATAGCAGGACAATGCTGAGGCTTGTTTCCACATTGATTTGGTCCAAGAAGCAACACATTTTTAAAAGCCCTGTAGAGTCAGCAGGGGCTAAGTACTTTTGTTTTTGATGTTCACAGGCAAGACATGGAACAATCTCTTAAAAAGCCAATGTAGAGATATTAAACTCTAACAACAAGCGTGTGAAGACTAGAAGCCTCAAGGTTACATCTACCAGTGCTCATTAGGGATCTCATTCTCTGCTGGTCGGGACTTGCTGATCACAAGGTTTCCTTGGTCCTCTCCTCATGAAGCAGGATAGCATGGGGGAATAGGATCAATAGGATATGTGCAAGTCTATTTTAAGGAAGGTACTCAAGTGAATGGGATAATAGTACATAGATTCCTCCAGGAATGAAAAATGCAAAGGGTTGAGAGCAGAGAAAAGGGTCTTCAGCTGCTACTGGGAGCTTGGTGTGCCCCCGTTGGCAGTGCTTTGTATGTAGCTTCCCTACAGATTCAAGCATGTTTTAGGGCAAAGCTGGCCCTCTAATATAGTCTTACACAGGTAAAGATCTCAGACTGTCTTTTTGGTACCTCTATTTCTGTTCCAGTCATGAAATACCCAAAAGCTAAGTCACCACTGTTGGCTTTAACAGACATGTAGTATGTTCCAAAGCTGTTCAATTGTGACAGCAATCATTCCAAAATGTTATGTACCTTCATGTCCCTCAAACCTGAGGGTCAAGGTCTCCAGCTTCTCCTGAAGATTTGGAGAAGTACCTTGTGTAGGGGGCTGCAAGAAGTCTTTGAACAATGAAGATTTTGTCGCTGTAGTCAAACAGGGTAGGGAAAGGACTATGCTGTGTCTCAGCCAAGGTGTTGATGATGTCAGCAAAGAACAGCTATTTCACTCACCTGATGCGGGACAAGATGCTCTCCCTGCAGAAGAGAAGGAAAGAGAAAAAAAAAATCTTTACAGTCTGAGGGTGTTGTCTGAATGGTACCAATCCGTAAGGACAGTGCAAAGAATTTCCAGCACCATTTACTGCCCAGCCACGCCACTGCAAGCTGTTTAATCATGTGAGCACATCCACAGTTCTTCTAATACTTTTGGATGCAATTGAGAGGGAGGACCTCAGATAATCGCTTTTGCACAATGAGACTGTTTCTTGGCTGCATTTTAGCTAGATAGCTTGTTTCCATAATATTACTTCCTTTAGCACAATTTAGATAAAAGGCCATACACAAAGGGATAGTTGTCCTTGCAGTCTTTCATCCTACGTATGGCTGTGATACTCCAGCCAAGAAAGTAGGTTATTTTGACCACTGAAGAGAGATAGAAGTGCCCTGCAGTGAACTGTCAAGATCAAGGGTCATCCTGCTGCTAGCTGCACTGTGCTCATTATGCCAAAGGACTGGCTCGAGGAGAAGCTTGTGGGACCTTCAACTGCTCAGAGTTGTGTGAATTGCTATACTTTTGCTACTTCTGACTAGTCCGAACTGGATAGTGAGCTTTTACATCTAATCTGCCTGGGAGTAAAATAAACATCTCCCTTGGTTCTCTTTTAGCCTGTCAGATTGCCCCATAAGAAAAGCAGAGTCAAAACCAGAAAAACCAGAAGTGACAAGAGAAGCTCTTGCCACTGTCTCTACCTTAAGGTAGGCAGCTAAAGAAGGGAGCTATTTGGTGTCATAATTAAGATATCTTGAAACAAAATAAGGACATGAAGTGCCATGAAAACACGTGCCTGCAGGCTGTTTCTTTTTACCTCGGCTCCAAGCCAAGGCTTGCAGCAGTATCACCCTCCAACTGTAGGAGGCTGAACAGCTTATGAAACAGGTAATAATATCCCCGTGCACTTATATTCCAGATCTTAGTGAGTGAGAGGCATGAAACAAGATATCATGGCAACAGCACGAACTCAACACTGATTTAAAAAAAAAAAAAAAAAAAAAAAAAAAAGCATGGTAGACACAGCTCTCCAAGCAACAGAAAACAAGGCTTGGTCTAGTAAAATCTCCTCTCCGGTCACGTTCCAGAGAAGTCAGCTACATGCTCCCAGCACCCTCCAACAGCCCGCCTCTGCCTGCCTTATCCCGTGGTGGTCCCACCCCAGCCCCAGCTGAGCCCCGCATAAGTCCCTCCTCATGCTAAAAGGCATCTCACCAGGCGTTGGGAAGGACCTCCTGCCACATGGCTGTCTGCTCCTCCTTGCCTTGCTGCAGTTTCGCGTAAAGCAACACGAGTGTCTCCTCCGCTAGCTTCCACCTTGGCACTGACGCTCTCTCGTACATTGGTGCCACCTATTGACTAAATATGCACATGCAAATTAGGTTCAACAAAGTTAAACAGAGGCCGATACAAAGTCCTGCATAGGGAGGGAATAGCCCTGTGCACTAGCGTGGGCTGAGTGCCAGATACATACAGAAAGCTGCTCTTTAGAGACTGGTTTGAGGTCCTCAGATGAATCAGCATCAACACGGGGGGACCTCATGGCAAAGGTCAGCTGCGTATAGGGCTATATAGCAAGCACGCTAGCCAGCAGGCTGGGGTAGGGGATGCTTCACTCTCTTTGGTACTTGCAAGATCATCTCTGGGAGCTCTGTGCCAAGTTCTGGTCTTGCTGGTAAAGGAAAGATCAGAGTGAGTCCACTATAGGGGCACGAGGCTGGCCAGGAGCTGGAGTACATGCTGCATGAGTAAAAACAGAGACCTATGTTCAACATGAAGAAGAGAAGGCATACTGTATGTGTGTGTATTTTGCGGCAGACAAAACAAAGCAAAACTATATAAAAAAGGAAAAGTTAAATTTTCTCATGTACCACAGAAATCAGTGTGGTTTTTTTTAGCTCAAGGAACTAGATTTTATCTCCCTAGTAGTCAGTTAAATCCCACCAGACAGAGGCTTCTGCTTCCTAAATAGTTGCACACTGCTCTTGCTGTATTTCAGTCCAGGAATAGCTATATTGCCAGAGGGAATGATTCTTCTCTCCATGCAGTGCTCAAAGTGAAGTGCCATCACCAGTGAGATCTGTTGATGATCAGCTCTCGTGTTACTGGGGTGCATATGCAGTCCCTGGGCCTCCAGAACTGTGGAAAATAGGAGGAAAACTGTAATTTGGTCAAAGTTCAATTTATTGCTACATCAGAGCTATTTGTGGTTATGCCTTTCTGGGATCATTTAGCTTTAAGGTCTGATTTCCAGAACTAAAGGTCGAGTAGCCCGTCTCAAATGCAGGGTGTATGTACAGGGATGTTGTAGTACTCGCACCAAAGAGACCCAGGGGGTCCAGAGGCAATCCTCCCTGCAGCAGTTCGACCGCTTGAAAACAAAGATTTTTCTCCGTCTCTCTTACAACCTCTAGTGGCAAAAACACGCAACTTCAGGCAGAAACTGCTTGCTGTGGTATTAAGGCAGCCTTCCTGGAGGCTGTGATGCGTGTCCCATAGAGGCAGCGATCAGAGGAAAGGACCTAGAAAAGTGTCTCAGAGCATCTTCCTGCACTGGGGCAGGACCCCTTATCCTCAATGACATTTTATCAACCCTCTGCTCATCACCAGTCGGCAGTATGCCTGCAACAATGGTAGAAAATATGCACACAGAAGTGTAAATGTCATATATTTTTTTCCCCACTTGTTTTAGAAGCTGGATATAAGCAGAAGCCAAATACACGATAACCTGCCACCTCTACTAGGAGGTTTCAGAAAGCCCAAGTAGCACAGAGGCACTCACAGCACTTCTGCAAACACTGGCTGCCCTCTGGTGGGAACAAGAGCTCATGGTTCACATAATAATGGTGTGTGGTAACAGGATGTTTATGAATGGTCTCCTGCCTCCTGTCCTGTGCCAGGGACCAGCTCTGGTCTTTTTACTTGGCAAACTGCTGGCTGATGATGCTGTGGAGGGCAGGGCAATGCCTGGGAGTCTTGGAGCTGCCCCGTACCCGTTCAAGCTTTCATGGACCCTGCTCTGCCCATGGCATCACTTTGTGATACCCACCTTCTCAGTGGCACTCAAACTTTTTTTAAGATTCCTTCTAACCTAAGCCAGTGTTCTTATTATTATTATTATTATTTTTCTCTATTAAGAAAGCACCTGAAGGCTGAGGCCTTCCTCAGCTTGGCTGCACCTTTGTTCCCTCAGACCAAAGACAGCACAAGATAAGAAATGTATCATTTCCCCACATTAATTCTGAAGGGGAATGATCTGTGCAACCCAGCAGGTCCAAGCTGGGACTGCTCATGTAAATATATCTCTTTTCTCACATGTTGCATGAACAATACTGCCTGGTAATGAGATTGCACAGGAAGAACTGGAGAGCTTAACACATGTGGCTGTGTCCTAAAACCAACAAAGAGCCTCAAGCGTGCCACAACAGATGGGCAAAATTTTCACCTTCCTGCTGAGGCTTTGGGAGATTCAGCTGGTCAGTGGGAGATTTGCTCCAGTCCTGAATGGCTGCCCCTGTGTTTAGCCTCAGTGATTACATCCCGTGAAGAAGCACTGGGCTCCTAAGCACTTCCAAGCTGTTAATTCCTGAATTTTATTATCAAGAGCCAGTGTTTTTCTCTTCTATTCCTTCAGTGGCGGGGAAGGATACTGAGGATAAAAAAACCCTCCTCATAAATAAGTGGCTCAAAAGTTGGTGCAAACAGAAGAATTTTGGTTTTTTTGGCCATGGGGCAATTTACTCAGCACCTGGCATGATGGCTGCAGATGGAACTCACCTGTCTGCAAGGGGTAAAAGGATACTAGGACTCATTGAAAGGTGTTTAAACTGGGTAAGAAGGGGGCAAAATGAGGGCCACTGGGGTTGAGTGGGTCATTTGAGGCTCAAAACAGAGCTTGATGGGTGACGAGGGTGGAGTTCAAAGGGATGGAGAGGGGCAGGGGGATGCTGCTTCCCCAAAGTGTCTGTACACTGATGCTTGCAGTATGGGAAACAAACAGGAAGAGTTGGAGATCTGCGTGCGGTCACGTGGCCACAATCTCATTGCAATCATGGAGACATGATGGGACAGCTCGCCTGACTGGAATGTTGTCATGGAGGGCTATGTGCTTTTTAGGAAAGATCAGCTGTCGAGGTGGGGTGGTGGAGTTGCTCTTTATGTGAGAGAGCAGCTAGAATGTACTGAACTCCACCTGGGGGAGAGTGGTATAGCAGTGGAGAGCTTGTGGGTGAGAATCAAGGGGCAGGCTGGTATGGCTGTCACTGTTGTGGGTGTGTACTGCAGACCTGCTGATCAGGAGGAGGAGGTTGATGAGGCCTTCCATAAGCAACTGGAAGCAGCATCACGATCCCAGGCGCTGGTGCTTATGGGGGACTTCAATTATCCAGATATTTGCTGGATAAGCAATGAGGCCAGGCACACGCGGTCCAGACGGTTCCTGCAATGTGCTGAAGACAACTTTCTGATGCAGGTGGAAGAGAAACCGACAAGGGGAAGGGTGTTGCTGGACCTTATTCTCACTAACAAGGAAGGGCTCATCGAGGAAGTAAAGTTCGGGGGCAGCTTGGGCCGTAGTGACCACAAGATGGTGGACTTCAAGGTCTTGAGTGGAAGAAGCAAAGCAAAAATTAGGATTGCTACCCTGGACTTTAGGAGAGCCAACTCTGATCTCTTCCAGGACCTACTTGGAGCTATCCTGTGGGCTAGGGTGTTAGAAGGTAAGGGGACCTGCGAGAGCTGGTCGGCGTTTAAACAGCTCTTCTTCCAAGCTTAGGATCTGTGCATCCCTGTGAGCAAGAAATTAGGAAAGGGTGGCAGGAGTATTGTGTGGATGATCAAGGAGCTCGTGCACAAACTCAAAGGGAAGAAGAAGGTCCATGAAATGTGGAAAAAGGGTCTGACCACTTGGGAAGAATACAGAAATGTTGTCAGGGCCTGCAGGGATGCGTCAGGGAAGGCTAAAGCCTGCCTGGAATTGAATCTGGCAAAGGTGATAAAGGATAATAAAAAAGGCTTTTTAAAGTATGTTAACAGTAAAAGGAAGACTAGGGAGAATATGGCTCCCCTACTAAGTGAGGGGGGTGTTCTGGTAACAGGGGATGCTGAGAAGACAGAGATACTGAATGCCGCCTTTGCTTCTGTCTTCAGTGAAAAAGCTCTCCCTCAGGAATCTCAGACCCTGGAGGCTAGTGAAAGGGTCTGGGGAATAGTCTTGCCTTTCGTCAGGGAAGACGCGGTCCGAGAGCACCTAGGCAACACCAATGTTCATAAATCCATGGGACCCGATGGGATGCATCCACGGGTGTTGAGGGAGCTGGCAGAGGTGATTGCTGAACTGATCTCTATCATCTTTGAGAGGTCTTGGAGAATGGGGGAGGTGCCTGAAGACTGGAGGATAGCCAATGTCACTCCGGTCTTCAAAAAGGGCAAGAAGGAAAATCCAGGTAATTACAAGCCAGTCAGCCTCACCTCTGTTCCTGGAAAGGTGATGGAACAGCTTGTGCTGGATGTCATCTCCAGACAACTGGAAGAAAAGGAGGTTATCCCAGGAGAAGTCAGCATGGGTTCACCAGGAGGAGGTCATGCTTGACCAACCTGTTAGCCTTCTACAATGTTGTCACTGGCTGGGTGGATGGGGGGAGTGCAGTGGATGTGGTCTACCTTGATTTCAGCAAGGCATTTGATACTGTCTCCCACAACATCCTTATAACAAAGTTGAGGAAATGTGGGATAAATGAGTGGACAGTGAGGTGGGTTGAGAACTGGCTGACTGGCAGAGCACAGAGGGTCAGTCATCATTGGCGGTGCAGAGTCTGGTTGGAGACCTGTAACTAGTGGTGTTCCTCAGGGGTCGGTGCTGGGACCGGTCTTCTCTTCATCATGGGACCGGTCTCATCTTCATCAATGACCTTAATGAGGGGATAGTGGCTACCCTTAGCAAGTTTGCTGATGTTACGAAGTTGGGAGGATTGGCTGACATGCCTGAAGGCGGTGCTGCCATTCAGCGAGACCTGGACAGGCTAAAGAGCTGGGCAGTAAGAAACCAGATGAGGTTTAACAAAAGCAAGTGCATCTAGGGAGGAATAATTGCATATACTGATACAGGTTAAGGGATGATCTGCTGGAGAAGAGCTCTGCAGAGAGGGATCTGAGTGTCCTAGTGGACGACAGGTCAGCCATGAGCCAGCAGTGTGCCCTTGTGGCCAAAAAGGCTAATGGCATTCTGGTGTGCATTAAAAAGAGCGTGGCCAGCAGGTCAAGGGAGGTGATCCTCCCCCTCTACTCTGCCCTGGTAAGGCCTTATCTGGAGTATTGTGTCCAGTTCTGGGCTCCCCAGTACAAAAAGACAGGGATCTCTTGGAAAGAGTCCAGTGGAGGGCCACAAAGATGGTGAAGGACCTTGAGCACCTCCCCTATGAAGAAAGGCTAAGTGAACTGGATCTGTTTAGCCTTGAGAAAAGAAGACTGAGAGGGACCTGATCCAGGTCTATAAATATCTAAGGTTGGGGGGCAGAATAGTGAGGCCAGACTCTTTTCTGCAGTGTGTGGAGACAGGACAAGGGGAAACGGCCAGAAACTGAAGCATAGGAAGTTCCACACAAATGTGCACAAGAACTTCTATACGGTGAGGGTGACGGAGTACTGGAACAGGCTGCCCAGGGAGGTTGTGGAGTCTCCTTCTCTGGAGATATTCAAGACCTGTTTGGATGCCTATTTGTGCGACCTGGTGTAGGGATCCTGCTTTGGCAGGGGGGTTGGACTTGATGATCTCTGGAAGTCCCTTCTAACCCCTACGATTCTGTGATTCTGTGAAACAACTGAAAGCTGATCGCACCAACACTTCACTCCTGCCTCCACCAGCAGCCAGCCCATGGGGCTGCTCCACGGTATTTTATGTGAAACTCAGATTTGTGATGAGAAAGTGATGAACAACTTGGGAGGGCCATGGAAAAACTCATCTACTCCCCTTCTCTTTGTGAAGACAAATGCTTCTTTCTTGCCTAGGAAGCCCATCACCATTTTTTCTGCAAGTGCCGTCATTCCTCCTCCCTTCCCCCAATCGTTTTAGTCCTCTGCCCTGCACGATATATTGAATAAAAGTTAGTGTTTTCCCAGCTGGAAATGGCCCCTTCTCTGCCCCCCTTATTCTCGGGGAAATCTCACAAATGTTTCAGTGCTACCTCCAGCAAGGACTGGCCCCTTCTGTTACTTATTAGGGAGCTAAGAGGCTCCCCCAGGCACTTCCCAGTGAAACTGAGCCCATTAAATGAATGGCAGGCAACATCTCAGGGGGTGGGGAGCAAAGTTACACAACAGCTGTTTGGAAACAGGCAGTTGGTTACGTGAGCTGGTTTTAGACTCAGCAACATTTAAAACAAAAGCAACTTTCAAGTCCAAAACAGTGTACTGAGGTCACTGATACCCTGGGGATA